ATCATATGCGACTCGATCTTAATTCTGAGTGAGTTATGAACTCATGCCTGAGAGGGCTTAATCTTTTAATTTGCATGGGTGAGAATAGCTCTGGTGGTCGATTCAATATGCTTACCATTTTGGGGACTCGACCGAATAGGGAGTTGGAAATATAATATCATGGGATGAAATTCATTCATTTTCATATAAGAAAAGTAGATAAGTTGTTCTCTTAAGTAGTGATTTCAGGGTTTGAACAATAAGGCTCCACCCTCTCATTGGCTCGAGAGGGACTTAATTTATGATTGTAATATAAACAAATTGTTCATTAGAAAATCAGTGGTACTCAAGGTGAAAGATATAATTACAGTGGTAAGACGAACTTTTGACCCACCTGTAATTATGAACAACTTGTAAAGCATCAACTTGCTTATAATAATTACATCAATGGACATAACTTGTCGTATAGTGCATAAGAGTGCAACTCTAGGTTAATAGTGAAGTGACTTATAGTTAATGAATGAAAATTGATTAATTAATGAGTAATTATTTAATTTTGTATCATTTGAGTTTAAATTTGCTAACTAATAGTAACCTGAAAAAGATTCAATTTAATTGAAAAGAAAAATTGAAGTATTTAATAGCTTAGATATATTAAATGTAGAAGAGTAAATAGATTTAATTTAAAATGTTTAAATTAATATTTAATATATTAGATATATTAAGTAAATAAAAAAATATATTTAATTTGAAGTGTTCAAATTAATATTTAATATATTAGATACGTTAAATATAAATAGAAAAAATATATATTAATTTGAAGAGTTAAAATTAATATTTAATATATTAGATATATTAAAAGAGAAAAATATATTTATTATATTTGATACATTGAAACTTTAATATATAAATACATAAAATAAAAATATATTTAAAATTTGAATGAGATTCAAATTAGTTAAATATATATTAAGATATTTTATAACATTTAAATATGATTTAATTAAGATATTATATCATAATATGTTTAAATATATTATTTGACAAAAATTCTTCAAAAGCCACGTAAATAGGACGGTTGGGTTGAGGCAAGAGGACACTAATCTCTCACACTTTCTCTCTGTGTAGAATAAAACTCTTGGTCTTTGAAATTCTCTTGAAACTCTTGTTCTTCAGTATCTTTGGGATTTTCTTTTAAGAGGCTTCCACCAACCTTGATCTTGTGTTCGAGTCATACTAAGGGAGATCTTGGGGAATGTGGAATAACTTCTATGTTGGAATACTCCAAAGAGTCTTGTACGCTTTCTACAAAGGCAGACTTCTTACTCTCATATTTATGGTTTTCTTTTAATTCTCAATAAAATCAAAATGGTTCTCAATGCTTCCATTATATGGATATAAAGTTCATTCTCTTTAGCACGTCTTCCTCGATTGCATCAGGAAATTTTTTTTATATTGACTCTCGCGTGGTCAGATGAGCAGCTCTTGAGGGAAAGAAAAATCTAGTGGAATGTGGAAGATCATCTACGTTGGAATACTTCAATTAGTCCTCCCAGCTAAGGTTTTTACAAAATTAAACTTCTTACACTCATATTTATTGTTTTCTTAATAAAGTTAAAATGGTTCATAATGCTCCGAGTAAAGAGTGCATTCCCTTCAACACCATCTTCCTTGGTCGCATCAAGACATTCTTTTATATTGGCCCTCGAGTGGCTGTATGGGTGCCTCTGGAGGGTAAGGAAGATCTTGCAAAATGTGGAAGAACTTCTACGCTATAATACTTCAAAGAATCTTGCAAGCTAAAGTTTCTATAAAGGTAGACTTTTTACTCTCATATTTATAGTTTTCTTTTAATTCTTAATAAAATCAAAATGGTTCCTAATGCTTTTGTTATATGGATAAAGAGTTCATTCCCTTCAGCACCGTCTTCCTCGATCGCATCAGGGAATTATTTTATGTTGACTCTCGAGTTGCCAGATGGGCGCCTCTTGAGGGTAAGAAAGATCTTGCGAAATGTGGAAGAACTTCTACGTTTGAATACTCAAAGAGTCTTGCAAGCTAAGGTTTATACAAAGGTAGATTTCTTACACACATATTTATTGTTTTTTTTTTTTTTTTTAATTTCTTAATAAAAGCAAAATAGTTCCCAATACTTCCGTTATATGGATAAAGAGTTCATTCCCTTCGACACCGTCTTCCTCGGTAGCATCAGGATGTTCTTCTATATTGGCTCTCTCGTGGTTGGATGGGTGCATCTTGAGGATCGTTGCTTTGCTTGACTCGACATAAGGGTCACACTCTTACTCTCTTCATAGTATGGGTCTGAAATTCTCTCCCACCACTTAAATTAGTCATCATTCTCAATGACTTTTCCGAGGCACAATTACATTGCAGATTGTGACATTCTCTCCAGCTTAATCTCAAAATCTTCCCGATTACGATCCAAACTCTAGACTACTAATGACTCGACTAATGCCTCAGACAAGTATAAATTCACTAGGCACCTGACTTCTCTTTTGTCATAATGCTTATCTTACTAATGCCTCTCTTTCTTTTGACTTCTCTTTTGTCATATGGCACTGCTCTATGACTCTTTCTTGGTCAGTTTTTGGGTGAACTTGCCTCAACTTAACTTTGACACTAATCTGGGCCAATCTACATACTTTTTGAGTGGCACATAACGGTACACTCATAGGGTGTCGCTCACAAGCCAACCACGAGATTCCTCTTCGTGGTACCAACTCTTGTGGAAGCAGAGTCTAGACGGCTTGCTAATTGACTTGTTGGAAAATAAACGTGCTTTAGACAAATACAAAAAACTCATGCACACTATAAATGGGCTATCTCACTTTCATACCTATTTCTATTGTTCGTTCATCTTGGACCGACCACCGAGACTTGCAACATAGACACGACAATTTAATATTGTCATAGCTGTGGGTGAGGTTGACACTTTGGCTCGATAGGAGCTCACTATACAATTATAGACTTTTCAAGGAAGCACGTTTAGAGATTTCACTTTGTTATTACGGTAAGTCATATCTCAACTCTCCTTTTCCTTTATCCAATCATTTAAATTTTGAGTTAGCATTTTCTATGTTACCCGAAATCACTTAGAAGTATATCTCTTTTTCTTTTATCCAATTATTAGAATCAGATCTCCTTTTCCTTTATTCAATTATTTAGAAGAAATCACATCAGAATCAAATAGATATTAGTTAGCATTATATGAGTTTCATTAAATTGCTAGCTAAAAAATCTATTAAAAATTGGCCAAGAATATTGGTCAACAGAATTAAACTACTAACACATTGAACAAGAATATTTGTCAACAATTTTAATAGAATAAATCGAGAGAGTAAAAGGAAAGATTTGATGAATAGAAGAATTAAGTAATAGAGAAGGCCGAATTAAAAGATAAAACATAGTAAATACAAGGACGAAAAGGGAAAATTTAACCGGGTAGATACCCATAGAGTAAAAGAGAAGATTTGGTGAACATAATTAAAAGATAAAACTGAGAAAATATGAGAGCAAAAAAACTCTATCAAATTCGTTCATATAATAGTAACAATATCTCCCCAATAGAAAATGAGATCTTAATGAAAATAGAATTATATATATATATAACATTCCAACACTCTACTGATTCAAAGTCTCTAATACTCGCATGAAATCTAACACATAGACTATTGTAAAATTTAGAAAATTGAACTTGAAATTGATCATGGGTTCATATAGGTTGACTTGGGTACAAAAAAAAAAAAAAAAAATCGAATTTTCATTAAGAATAAATTGGTGAACACCAACCGGTAAGTGACCTTACTATCAGTATGATTATATTTGATGGTGACATGTTCCCCGTGGTTCTACACGTGTCATATATATTTGATTTGTGTGAATTGTTTATGAATTGTCATGACTATGACATACTAGATATATATTATGATATATGAATGGTACGTTAGCGGTTATGGCATCATGTGTTAAATGATATGTTTGAGATAAGATATGAGAAGGATACAATAAATGTAATGTAACGATACGATAAGGTTATGTATAGAAAACGTTACGTTACGATAGGTTGATAAAATGACACGATAAGATTAGGTATGGAAAATGTTATGGTTATGATAGATTGATAAAACAATAGGAAAATGTTATGTATAGAGAAAATTATGGTTATGATAGGTTGATAAAATGATACGATAAGGTTACGTATAGAAAACGCTATGGTTATGATAGGTTGATAAAATGGTACGATAATGTTACGTATAAAAAATATTATGGTTATGATAGATTTATAAGACGATACAATAAAGTTATGCATAAGAAATGATGATATGGATATGGTAGATTGTTGGGAAACGATATGATTAACGTATGTTCATGAAATGATACCACAAGAATATGCGTATGGAACGATAGGACTACGAAATGTGTACGAAATGGTTAGGATATGGGGACGGTGCATGTAGTTAAATATATATTATACTATAATATGAGAATGATATGATATATATTATGGTAAAATATGTTTGATGAATTGATATAGCTATGATATGATATGTTAAAGGCACACCTAGAATATACTATGTGAGTGTTATGATATATGATACGATATGATATGTGTATAATGTGAATTTTTATGTATGAAAATATGGAAACGTTTTGATATGATATATTTGTGGTATGAAATGATATGATTGACATGCAAGATGACGAACTAACATGAAATACAACCACGACATACACATGAAAGTTGTGATAAACAATATGATAAACGTAGTGAAGTTGTACTAAATAATAATAAAAATGGAAAAATGTTGAGACCTTGTGCATTATTGTGTATTCATGCACTGGGGAATACCCATATTCTTTCGTGGTAGTATAGACACGTACACTACTAAGAGATATTAAGAAGCGGTAAATGAGAAGAAATGGAGAGAATCATAAATAATGAAATGAGATCTATAAAAAAGAATAAGACTTTAATGATTTTTCTAAAGAGCAACATTTATTACATGTTCTTAGTTAAGTGTATTGGGTATATATATGAATTGTGTTTAATTAGGTGTATGGTTTTTAAATCATAAATGGTAGTCGGGAATGTCCCAATTTACCTCAAATACATATTTTGACATTTGGTGGAAGAGGTAGAAAAACAATTTAGCATCATTTTTTAATAATACAAAGTTCTCTACTCTCAAAAGTTTTACTAAATTTATCTGTCACTAACAGCCAGTAACTATTCCTCTAACATGAGTGCACAAAGCTTTGGCTGCTCCATTCTTGTAACTCAGCTTTACATCTTCCAACCTTATTCCCACACATGGAAACTTTGGGCTACAATCGAATGTCATGGCGAATCTAGTGGCTGCTGTCCCACGAATGTCTTGATATGTCACATCACTAACTTTAATTCCTGAAGCCTATTCCATTAGAAGAACGAAAATGAAATTTATTGTTTAAACATAATGTTTTTCTTTTAATGCATACAAATATTGAAATGTACCTGGCCAGGGCAATCTTTATTGTAAGGACAGTAATTTTGATCGATTATGATGGGATTCTTGACATTGGTCATCTTGAGATGTTGAAAACGAATGTTTCTTGCAAACCCACTGCTTGGCCTTCCCCAACTTTTTATTCTCACTCCATTTTGAGTGTTTGTAAATCTACAAGATTTTACTGTCACGTTTTGAACTCCATCCTCCTTCAACGCTTTTCCTAAACTCCCGATGCTGCATCATCCAATAAAATAGTGAGTGTTAAGAGATCTCGCAATCTTTTTAAGATACGTAAGCTACTCCTCTCGTTGTCAATTGGTTTTGTTTTTCAAGTTAAAAGAAACTTAACAAGTACCTAATTCCATGGCCAGGTCCACAAGCAACATTCTCAATCCACAAGTTGGAGGTGCCGGGGCCTATTGAGATGCAGTCGTCGCCAGTGCTGATATCTGAATTGAGAATGGTGACATGAGATGATAGCCCTACGTGAATGCCATCCGTGTTGGGACTATTACCCGAAGCGGTGACCTTTAGTCCTTCCATTTTCACATTGTGGCATTCATTCACTACTATGTGAAAAATCTGGCTATTTAACGAGGTTAATCCACTTATCAAAATGTTTTTCGAATCGGTAAATTCCAGCGACTGCCCATACACAAAACAAAGTATATGATACGTATAACCTTTTTAAAAAAATAAAGGAATTTAATTACAGCTCAAAAGGATGAGTGTACCGTGGCTCCAAGAGGACAGGTTTTGGCAGAACGTTTGCAAGCCCACAATCCAGCTCCTTGACCATCAAGAGTGCCACCAAAGATGGAAACTCCATTAACAAGGTGAAAAATGATCCAATTTGGAGAGTTGGCATTAACATGGAAGTCGGAAGGAGCCACGAGAGTGCCATCGATGTGTATGTTGATGGCGTCGCTTCTGCATGGCCCATTGAAAGTTGCATGGCGGAGATAGAATCTACCATTTGGGACGTAAATGGATGCGGACGTACAAGAGGTACAAGCACGCGCCCATGCTGCTTGGAAGGCCTTGGACGAGTCTGTTTTGGCGTCGGGTTTGGCTCCGAAATTGACGACGTTGAGTGTCTCGGAAGCAGCAAAGGGTGAGTTGAAGAAGATGACGAGTTGTAGTGAGAGAAGAAAGGAGGTTGTTCGAGGGTCCATCGTGATTGTGTTGGTTTCTACAAGTGGGATGAATTTGGGGGTTTATATAGGGAGAAGAAAGTTCATAAAATGAGTAAAACATGTTTGGAAATTAGGATGGGACGTATTTTCATTCACACTTGTTTTAAAGAGTCGTGACATCATAAATATTAATAAATTAAAAATTAAAAATATATTTTAAATGAATAAATAAATACGTATAGTTTTAAAATATTGTTTGAAAAATGAAAGAATAATAAATAAATAAATAAATAAATAAAGGAAAAAAAGGTTGGAATTGGATTGGTTAGGTATAATTGTTGGGTAGAAAGGTAAATTGAGGAAAATAGGGGAAAAGAGTTTGGAGAGAAGAAGCGGAGGATAAAACGGAGAAGAAAACGGCGGGTTCATAGCCAACACCCTCTCCCCCCAACTTCACAATTTCAATGCTTTTCCCTATTTCCATCCTCCACTTCCATCGCCCTTTCCTTACTAAGTTCACACAAATCTTCTCTTTCTTTTCTAAAACTCGTTTTATTAGCTTCTCCAAACAAAAAATAAAAAAACATTTAATATCGTGAGCACGAGCCACAACAACCGGCTCAACTCGACTTCGATGATTGAATGAGTTGATGTTTGTCACAATTTCTTTTTAGGTATCACATGTTGCATGTCGATGCTTTGTGGGATAATATTGGTTTGATCCCCTTGATAAAGACTTACAAGGTTAATATTTGAAAAATATAAAGAGAGGTCGATAGAGAGTAGAATCAGAGAGGAGAACCATTAATAGTTAGGTGTTGAGAAATAACCATGAGTTGTGGGATAGAGACTCAAGGTAGAGGCTTCAAAATTAGGGCGATGACTATTATGAGAAAAGCGCCGGAGGCACAAAGAGAGAGGGTTTGATGGTAGTTGTGAAGAAGGAAGGGTGGACGTGGTGGCACTCAGAGCAATAGAGGAAGAAGAGGGCAGTAACTAAGAGTGCGGACTCTGGGCTGTATTATAGATGAAGAAAGAAAGAGAGGGGCGAAGATAGAGTGAGATTTGCGCCTTGTGGACTGATTTTCTATCGAGCAGATGAGCATGAGTAAGAATATCTTGAGCATATTTAAACTGACTAATAAAGAGACCATCATGAGTGGGTGAAAAGCCACAATGATAGAGCCATAGACAACGATCGTGTTCACAACACCATCATTGCTAGGAGTGGAGGCCGGTGATGGAACAATAGGCACAGTTGGTGGAGAAGTTGCCAACGCCATAGCAAGTGGTGAAGTTCTAATAGATGGAGAGGGAGCCACGTCTCCAGAGCAAGGGACGAAGATGGTGTTAAAGTCGAAAGAGTCACCATAGTAGGAGAAGGAGCCAATTTTGGCAAGGAGGGCGACGACGACTTGGTTGGCGAAGAGGCCAGTGTGGCGCCCGAATTCTGAAGGTAAATCTCGGTAGAAGGTCGATTAACTTGTGGAGATTCTGTATATTTTTTATGAGAACACTGATGAAGATCTTGAGGTTATGGTCTTTGTGAATGATGAAAGACCGTTTAGGAAGAAAATGAAAGAGACTATGTTGGCTAAGGAAAATCAATTGTGTTGGAGAACGTGAAGTCGTATGTACAGAATATGACAAAAGATGTGTCTGCGAAGGATGATTTGGAGGCCAAAAGCTATCGATAAGACTTCCTTATATTGTACTCAAAGTACTTATGACATGATTATAATTGAGAAAATACTTACATTATGTGATAGGATTCAAATATAATTAGGACTATTAATGAACCATGCACTAACCTAGGACCATGCAAGGCCATACCCTACATATTCTCATGTCCTAAAGTTATGATACTTAAGATTTCTAGGTACTATGCTTTTACACTCTAAGCGACTGTGACCTCTCATTATGTAGTGCATTACTAGGCTCTTGATTCCTCTTCCAAGTAGGATGCCCTGTGTCAAAACTTAACAGTAGTTGTGCCTCCAAGCAAGTCATCGAGGACGATGATTAGTTTAAGTGCGAGAGAATGTCACAACCTAACTATGAAGAAAGTAGGTTTTGACCCTCACATTGCGACAAGAGAAGCGGCGACCCTCAAGTGGCTCCCATCGATCATACGAGGGCTTAGACGAGTGCCATAATGCAACCAAAGAGGATGGTGCATCTTCTAACACACCACACAAAGTGGGCATTGAAGAGAAGTTGGAGGCATAAACAAGATAGTGGGAAAGAGTGGGAAAGAGTGGCAAAGATTGGCTTGTGCAAGGCTAGGTAAGGCACCAAATCTTAACCTCAAAAGTTGATGTTCTAGAAGGAATTTGGTCATGCCGTTTTGGAGTTAAATCTGTCCATATGAAATAAGAATGCTCGCCAAATTGTGCCAACCAGACACCGGACGAATGCTCCACGAAACCATACGCCCGTTTGCCAAAATCACTTCTACTCCAGAAGTATTGGAAATGCGTCAAAATGTACTATAGGGGGAGGCACGGTGTCAGCTCCCCACCACCCCTAGGCCTTGTGTTCTAAGTGAGCTTCCCTGTGGTATATGCGTGTGTCATAGTTAGGGCGAATTCCTTTGAAATGGATTTTTTAAGGACATTACTGAGCGACATGGGTATGCCAGTATTGCGCCCCAATCCAAGCGTCATAGGTTGAATTATACACTCGCTATGCAGTTCGATATCCGTAAATGATATGACATGAGTACGATAGAGCCAATACCTCGATAGAAATTGGATTGATGAATATTTAAGATGTCTCGATGAGATGAGTGATACATGGGCTCAGTCTTGATGACATGAACGAGTGAGTTGTGATGATCAACGACACTCTGAGACTTAGGATGGCCTCAAGACATATCGGGCATGTCGATTGAGAATCAGTAAGCTTGACTTCGTAAAAATAGTTATTCTTTGAATATGTTTAGGAAAATTGTTAGTCTTTAATTACGAATAAATTTGAGGAGACTAGTTGAGCTTTGTCAGCTATAAATACTCAATGCTATTTTCACAACAAGAAAAGAATTAACAAGCATATTAAGTTTCCTCTATTAAAAAATCTCTCTCCGCTCAAGTTGTTCTTCCACTTCATTATTTGTTTTGACATATTTTAATCGTGGGTTAATTTCAACATTTGGTATCAGAGTTATGATGCCAAAACAAATGTTGTCACCATTCAAATTTTCTGGTGAGATGTGACAGCGATAAGAAGTGGAAAGGAGGAGGGTGTAACACAAAATACCCGTTACTCACGAAGAATAACTACACAACATGGTTGATAAAGATGCGTGTTAACTTATAGGCAGAAGGCGTGTGGGACGCCGTCGAGCATGGTGACGTTGAGGAGTGTAAGGGCAAGTTGACTCTTGCCGCTATCTACCAAGCAGTCCCAAAGGACGTCCTTCTCATGTTGACAGAGAAGGACTCGGCAAAGGCAGCGTGTGAGACGCTGCAAACAATGCATGTTGGTGTGGAACATGTCAAGGAAGTAAAGGTGCAAATCTTGGAGTGAGTTTGAGGCTATCCGCATGAAGGATGCCGAGTCAATAGAAGACTTTGTCATGAAGTTGACAACGATCTTTAGTAGCATCCGTTCACTAGGCGACGTTGTGGAGGAGATTTGCATTGTCAAGAAGTTCCTCCGAGCTATTACCCCAAGATTCATGCAGATTGTCACCTCCATCGAGCAGTTCAGCGACCTAAAAAATATGTCGGTCGAGGGTTTGTCTTAAGGTCCATGAGGAGAGACTTCGTGGCTACAAAGAAAAAGAGGAGGAGAAATAGCTCTTACTCACACATGAGGAGTGGGTCGCATGGACGAAAAAGAAAGATGCAAATGACTCTTCTTTTTCAGGTATGAGTGGACTTGACAACCATAACAAAGAAAAAAAAGGTCGTGGATGTGGCCGCAGACGTGGTGGCAGAAGAGGTCGTGACAATACCTCACAAACTCATTAAAATGCCAACCCTTGGAAGGACAAGAGTATGATCAAGTGTTAATCTTGTAGAAAATATGTGCATTATGCGGCAGAGTGCCACAACAAGAAGCTTGATGAGGAGGCAAACCTCATGTTCTCAGATGATGAAGAGCCTACATTGATGTTGGCCGAGAAAATGCCCAACATTATGATGCTCAATGAAGAGAAGGTTATGATGCTCAATGAAGAGAAGTTATGATGAACCCCTTTATAGATGGAGAAGACCAAGTGGAGACAAGCATGTGGTACCTAGACAATGGAACAAGTAACCACATGACCGGAGATCGAGAAAAGTTTAAGGACCTTTATGACAAGTTCACTGGAAACGTCAACCTTTGCGATGGATCAATTGTACCGATCTAAGGTAAAAGATCTATCTTGTTCCAGTGTAAGAACAACGATCAACGTCTATTGACCAAGGCAATATTGTTAGCCTTAGTCAAATGACAAAAGAAGGTAGCAGAGTGGAGGTAGTCGGTCCATTCCTCAAGGCATATGACAAAAATGGAGCCCTATTGATGAAGGTAAAACGGTTGTGAAACCGCCCGTATAAGATACTATTGAAAGACCATCAACATCTTTCAAAAGTATCCATTGACGTTGACAACAATAAAGTGAAGAAGAAACTAATGGGTCAAGAGAAAAAAAAACCGACAAACATAGCTAAGAAAAAACCAGAGGCTACTACAATCAGTGGAGAGAAACCTAGATGGCGTATTTCATCATACTTGTCATCTCAACCACATAGGCCTAGAGGAAGGCCACCAAGGTGTAAGAAAAATGGGTCATCAAACTTATCCTCTCAACCAAAGAACACTAGAGGCATGTCTAAAAAGAAGGTTGAAAGACAAAGGATTGCCCTACAAGATGAAGAAATCCATGCACTTGAGAGAGGTGCATGTTGTGGAATTAAAACTTCTTGTGAAGAATGCAGAGTTGATCAGGGACCCAACAATGTTAATACTATAGAACAACATTCAAATGTTCTCATGAAAATACTCATGAGATGTATGCTAGTTTCACAACAACAAAAAAGAATTAGTAA